ATATTTGGGAATATTTATTAGACAAAAAAAAGAAAAATCAAGGAAAAAATTTCAGTAATTTAATTTCTTCAGTTTGAGTAAATATTAAATTAATCAACTGTTAGAATAATATCTGTTTCATATTCTTATTAATTAAATATTAAATTAATCATAATCAACTGTTAGAATAATATCTGTTTCATATTCCTATTAATTAAATATTAAATTAATCATAATCAACTGTTAGAATAATATCTGTTTCATATTCCTGTCAATTTCATCACCACTACTCCGGTTCTTTTTTTTACTACAGATATTAACAGTAATAAACCGGAGAGACCGGAGAAAAAATTTGTCAATTAATATGCTTAAGCTAAATTTTTTTTTTCTGCTATACTTAAGCTAAAATTTTAACATTTAAATTACTCAAAAAAATTCTTGAAATAATCCCTTAGTTTTGACAAAATAAAAAAAAAATAAAAAATTTGCATATATGACTGTTTGAAAATAATTTGCTATCATTATCTTATTTGAAATACATTTTGGTTATTTCCAAATCAGTGTACCATGTGAGTCTGCCTGTTTGTGCTAATGTCTTGCAAATATTGATTTGTTTAAAGTGGTATTTTTAGCTCTGAATATTTCATTTTGGTGATAATCTTTTTTCAAAATTCTTTTGAAATTTTAAAAATTTTTTTTCTCTTTTGTTTTCTTAATAATTGCTTACAGGTAATTGTGCATGTAAAATAACCTTTTTTTTTGAGAGTATTTATTGTTTATGAGAGGAAAAAAAAAGAAAAATGGTGAAATTTCTTGATAAAATTCTTCCTTTCCAATATTTCTTTTGAAATTTAATTAAATTTTCAGACGAAATTTCTTTCCCAATTTCATATATGTTTAAAAATCCGTTTTGAATACTCCATTCCGCGGAAATTTTTGAATGTCTTCATTAATTAGTAACAGCAAGTGATAACATCGTAGAAAAGCCAAAAATGCAACGGTTGAATTCGACAAATCATAGGGACAAACGACGACGATTACAGATTGGGAGTCAACTCCCGGAAGAATTCTATGATTATCTTGATCAAAAAGGTTAAAATTTATTTCCTAAAGAAATGAAATTTAAGATAGCAAAGCTAAAATTGCTAAATTGAAACTTGGAATCGAAATTAACAGTGAAAGTGAACAGTACTTCCGTAATCTTTGATCCGGATACGGAAATGAATTTGATTTATGAAAAAGGAATGGTTTTGAAGAAGAAAATAGAATTCATGTCATATGAATAAGGCGAATTTGTTCCTTCCCTTGGGTATTTATTGAAACCAGCCTTATGAACTACCCCAATGTCTTCTCAATCTCAAATTCCCGCATATCGGATAATCCAGGAGAGTTTGATGAACTGCGAGAAAATGATCATGTAATAGAGAATGGTTTTTATGGAGATATTTAGAGAATGATTCAAAGGCTTTAAGACACTGTTGCATTGCGTATTGATGATAAAAGATATTGAAAAATAGAATGATTAAAATAGTGAGGAAGTGAGAGAAAGTTTATCAAAAAAAAATACGACCATTCTGTCAATTTCTCACTAACTGAGAAAAAAAGAAATAGAGTACGATAAATGAAGAAGAATTAGAGATAGATGAACATTTGCAATAAATAATGAGATAAGAGAGAGAAAGAGAGAAAGGGAATGGAGAGGTGACAAAATAATTAGCTAACTGATATAGCGTTATAGCAGAGATTGAGAGGTAGGAAAGGAATTTTAATTTCTAGTGAACATTTTTTCTGGAAATAGATAAAAAGAAATATCACGAGTGTAATGAAAGGAAAAGAGGTAGAGGAAAAAGGGTAAAGAGTTTAGAAGAAAAAGGGAAAGGTTTTTTTTTTCTTTTCGAGGGAATGATGATAATAAATAAATCAGATGAAGTTAGATGAGATGAGATAAGAAGAGATGCTTATTACAGTATCATATTGGATCATACCTACAGTGCCTTATTATGCGGGATCATATAAATTAAGTAAGCAAAAATTAATGACTGATATCTAAAATTTTTTTTTTAATAAAATTCACCGGATCACTTTTTTTTTTCAAGATTTAATACGTAATGATCGTTTCCTGAAACGTTTCGGTAAACGATTACTGGGTGCTATTCGACAACCGTTATTACGACGCAATCGATCAAACGTTACATTATTGGATTCAGAGATTGATTCGAATTTATCGTTGGCTGTAACACCTAAACGTACATTTTCATTGCTCAGTCAACGAACATTATTATCGAAAAAGGTATTCAGATACGTTTTTTTTTCTCTCTCTCTTTTTCCACGGTAAATTTAAACACTTGATTGATATCAATTGATTATTGAACAAGACGATTTAGTAAATTATGTAGATCGGTAAAGAAAGCATTCTTGATTTTGAATGATCGTTTATTTCCAGTTAATAACTTCTTAGTTGCATATAGTTTAGGATTTACGTGGAATGTTCATTATTAAACAAAGAGAGGTGAAATGATTGTTACTTAAAGATTATAAATCGTTGGAATGGATGACTTTATGAATATTCAAAACTTCCGATAGATAAGCTTTGGTAGCGTTCAGTCGATGAGCTGGAAAGGATGTATAATGTTTAGATTACAACGGTTATAGGCTAATATCGTTTAACAGCTGTAGTGAAGAAGTAGAGAATTCTTGACAAGTGTGAATATTGATTTTCCCTGGGAAAGATTGGATAAATTTCTGTTTCATTTCAACCATAATACAAATTGTAAGTAATTGCAAATTGAATTGAAGAAGTGAGGAAACAATGCCAACAAATGCAATTGTAATCTTTCTGTATCTCATCCACCTATCTGTGTGTAATTTTATAACTTTGAAGGGATGAACCTTTTTTTTTTTCAGAACAATCTGGACGAAGAAAATTTTTACATGGAAGATTTGAAATTGACCAATGGAATGCTTTCAGAGGAAGTGAGCTTTTAGTACTTGTAATTCGCTTTTCGCTAGATTGTACGGTGGGATACTGAGAGTGGAAGAGAACGAAACGAGAGGATAATAAGGACGGAAAAAGGGAAAAAGGAACAGAGTTAAAAATAAGACTATTTATTTGCCTTTGGTAGTAATGCGTCTTAATTATAGTATTTTAGCATGAAGCAAACGGTGACGACACATTGTTTCATGGTGAAGAGATGGCAATAATAAATTTGGAAAAAGAAAATGGTGGTATGTTTGGTTTCTGAATTTGAATTTTTTGAAAATATCTTTGCTAATACAGTTATTATTTCTGTTATTATTGCTATTACTTTATATAAACTCCGTTTTTTAATCAACATTAATTTTTAAATAAATTATGATTTGTAATGCCGATTATAATTCGATCAGGAATGGTGTGAGTTTACGATGTTCATCTTCGCGTAGAGTTTTAGTACATAGATCTGCAGGACTGGTATTTATATTAGGGTACTTTATTCTCAGTTCATTGAAATAACCTCGGTAGTCTGAAAATTTTAGAATTTGGTTTCAATATTGTTGGCGGTACCGACCAGGAATATATCCCGGGCGATCCTGGCATATTCATTTCAAGGATCCGAAATGGTGGTTCAGCTTCGCGTGATAGTAGACTAAAGATCGGTGATCGTATCGTTTCGGTAACTTTTAAATTTGAAAGATTAGTAAGAATTTCACTTCACTTTCTTTGACTTTAAAATTTAAAAAAAGTACTTTGCAGGTGAACGGTATACTACTTACTGGTAGAACGCATGATGATGCTGTAGAAATTTTGCATAATACTAAGGGCACTGCAGTGCTAATGATCGAACAAAATGCTGAGTCACGAGTTTTAAATGTAAGGTTTTCTTTCAATCCAAGGATATCTTAGAGTTGCAAATTTCCAATCCTTATTTATTTTAAAACAAGTGCTTTGCGACCTTTATCTATTCATTCATCATATTTTTTTCTTTATCGAACAACGTATTCCTAATGCACGAGCAGAACGTATAACGTATGTTTTGAATTACCAACATCTTATATTAATTGTCATGTTTCTTCAATAAAAACATAGCATGTCAGCAGTGCTAGCAGTACCTGTTGTTTCAGACTTGTTCCTACTGATTCACTTGTCAATATTTCATTGTTCAATTCTTTCATGAAAATTTTTACAACATAAAGTTAGTCATTGGGAGTCTTCAAAAGACTGGTTTTATTGGTGAGTTGGCATCATTAGTGAAAAGTATTGTTGACAATCATTTCTTTCGAATTTATGTAACTTAAATGTACTAAGCCTTAATAGGTACTCCAACGTATATTCCGCATGATTAGCACTTTATTCTGTTGCAGAATGTCAAACACTAGTTGTAGCCATGTTTAAGTTTTGATATTTTATCATTGTTGCTAAAATCAGTTCGCTACTCGTTTGGAGTACTCCGGAAATTATTAGAGTAGGCATGTATATAAGGCTTCTTTTGAATCTCTCTTCTTTCAAAGTCTCTTTTGAACTGTCCTCAAATTTAGCTGTATTATTCTTTTTGTGAAATTCAAACTTAACTGTTAGTGTGCTGAACATCTGCGCAAATTTTCCGGATTGCAGTTTTTACTTTTCCACTTTAGTTTTTCTGTTTTTTTTTCTTGCTCAAGATTATATATATTTTCCAATTTATTCATCGAAATCAGTTTCGAGTTTTACCTTTTTGTAATCAGGATATTATTTGATATGCCTTCCCAACTGATGTTAGGATGTCGCTTGATGAAGTGTAGGGCTTACATGTTACATGCTGTCTTTTGCTTGCACAAATTAAGGTTTATTGGATTGACCGGGAAAGTCGAAATAGAACAACGAAGTGAATTCATGTTTTAGACTAAAAAGTTATTGATTCATTTCAGTCGCCTTAACATAACAGTCTGCTTCTTGAAAAGTTACGACAAGTAATGCATGTTCCTTGTAACTTATGGAAGTCGTTTGACGGGGTTGGCAAATAAAGGATGTCATCCAGACGAATTAATTTCAAAGGGCAGGGACGAGGGAATTGGAAATTGACTTTGTTACTTATATTATCACATAATTATCTAAAACTTCAGAGTTATTGATTTCCTCTGAATATTTCCAAGTGAAAATCTCGTTTAAAATCTTCAGGGGACTTGGTGGTTGTGGAAAGTTTACTTATACTTCGTTTAGGTCTTCACTTTTTTTTTGCATTATTTTGCGTAACCAAACATCAACAGTTAGAAGGGGGTTGATAATTTTTGATGGTAGTTATTGTTCTGCTGTCTATTTTCGAAATCCATAACTAACTTAGCCATGGTTCAGACGTGAGATCTGAGACGATTAGTTCATGACAACAATTTTTCAATAACCTTGGAGCTTCCAGAAACATAGCCAAATTATTTTTATGCTTATTGAATTCATTTGGAAATTGCTCTCTATTAATCATTTAATTTGATTGTATTATGACGCACTTACTCGAATCGGAGATTTTGATTACTGCTGGAGACAAATAATACAATTTGAAGTTTTCTGAGTTTTCTTCACCCTTGAATATAGAATACTAGAGAAGCCAGCAACAAACATTAGGATATTAGGGAGAAAATTTCGAATGAGCAAAATCATTGGTCTTGTAGTATATGGGATCTTACCTTCTAAGTGTGATTGTGATCAGGATGCAATTTTTATAAAAGAGATTGCCAGTATCTGATGCATTTCTTCCGGCAGATAAGGTGCCGATTGAAGGAAGGTACCCCTGTAAAATATTTTTCAACTTCTTTACTAATATTTTAATACGAAAAGCATAATTTTCCTGAAAATTATCTAACCTTAAGATGGTTTTTTTTCCACTGAATCCTAATTTATATGATGTTTGTATTCATCATCGACTTTTTGGAAGGTTTTCAATATTTGAAGCTGCTAAGATTCCAGCTTTTTTATTATACTTTATCTCTGCGTCTTCCATGTTCTTATCTTCTCTTGTTTCTGGTTTATTTCTTGTCTTATTTAATTTCGGCTAATGGATTTAGTTTTTCTATAATCCGTTCCGTCGTCATTTGGCTGCAATTTATAATTAATGTTTTTTTTCTTTTGTGATTCATTTAATTTTCATCCAGTTGTTACAGTTAACAACTAATTTAACATCGATTCTTAAGGTTTGTCACACTCTTATCTTTGTTTATTGATTTTCACTTCCAATTCTACATTGAAACACTGTGTTTTCGAGCTTTAACTGATTTACGGAAGGGCGAAAAAGATGTTGAATCATGAGAAAGTAATGGATTACCAACTTCTTTATTTTCTTCGCTTCAGAAACCAACAGAACTTTCGGGTATCTTAAGCTCAAACGAAAGTATCTCATCATTGAAAAGTGAACAAAGGACTTTGTCCTCCAACCAACGTACAAGTATGTCGTCCAAATCCATGAATCCGTACATGTCGCAAATCATGCCAGAATCAACTGAAGTAGAGAAAAAGAAAAGTACACTGTCATCAGCTAATGAAGGTAATAAAACATTTTAGGTTTAACATTAAAAGTCTGGATCGAAATCATGTATTTTTTTTGCAGTTATGCTTTTCATGGGTTTTAGTTCTTTTGAGTACCTTAATTTCATTTCCATCCTTTGAGTTTTATCCACTTTTGATTTGAAAAGGAAAACTATTTGGTGATTTCCTGTTTTTAGTAGTACATTTGTTATCGAATTCAGCAAACAATGATTATGTAGATGGCGAACGCATGATGAAAAATGAAACAGAAAATCAAAATGAAGTACGTCGGACGGAACATGAACGAATGTTGGAAGTTGGTTCAGTTACAACGGCATCGCCACTTACATGTTAGTTCTTATTTTTGATTCATTTCTAAGTTCCGAAATATTTCAGGTCTTATGGAGTTTTATGTTTCATTCCTTCAAATTTGTTTGTTTGTATTTGGACATACCATCGTGGAACGGTCCTTTATTTTTCTCGCTTTTTGAAATAATAATGATCAAGATTCCATACTTTATCTTTGAAATCCAATTCCATATGTAGCATAGTCGACTGTTTGTCGATTTTCTTTTCAAGTGTAACTTCAAAGCTGTTAGCTTGCAATACAACCAGCATTAAATGGTCGCGTAAAATAATGGTACATGCTCCCAGGATTCTTCCCTTACGACCGTGATCCTTCTTGCGATAGCATTTTGTTTATCCTTCATCAGTTGACATATACCATATTAAAAGTATCATAATTACATATTGTTGTTCGAGTCTTTTATATCATTCTAAGAGGATGTGGAGGGTAAGAGGAAGCGGACAGCTTTAGATAGTGGGACAACTGCAAACTAATGTAATCTATTGTAAGCTTCTGCCCCGGGGAAGCAGTCGGCGTCTGTTTGCTGTGTATACTTAAACTGATTTTCTTTCGTCTGTCCCAAAATTACTGCTGAATTATAAGGCTCGTTGTATCAAAATTTAAATTTAGTTTTAGCCGAGATATTGCAGGTTGTTTCTTGCAGAAATACAGCATTGGGTTATGTTAGAAAGTCCAAAAATGTTACGTTAAATATGATATGTACTTCTAATTGGATCCATCCATCAAGACTGATGACAGATCGTTATTATTTGCTGTAGATCTAGTTGAAAGTGAAACATTTGTGTTTATTTGGTTGATTGTAGCATTCCTGACGAAGAAAATATCTGACTTGAGATTCAACAACTTTAAAGCTTAGCAGGTTGGAGAAGACATTGACCTTTACCCGGGTAAAACGAAATAGCATAAAGTAGAAAAATTATCTCAAAGCAGACCGAGGATAGAATTAAAATGTGACCACTCGTTTTTAAATTTAGCATCCTTACAGATTTTTTCTTTTTTTCTCAAACTTTGGATACTATTTGCTTTTTCCTGGTTTTCCACTTTTTTTTGAGATTCTATTATTTGGTTTTTTAAATTCGTATTTAAATTTAATTCTTCGTTTTCAGCATTAAACGATGAAACAGCGAAGACGATCGACGAAAGAAGCGGTGAAGCCGCTTCATTGAATAATGGTGATAATCATGGTGATAACGATGATGACTATGAAGATGGTGAAAATGGATTAACATCTTGTGATCACTCAAGTTCTGTTATAGATGACATTCCAGTCACACCTAAAAGGCCATACAGATTATTGGATCCATCAAAGTAAATATCGATTTTAATCACTTTTTAAAGAAAAAATGCTTTTATCATTGTATACAAGTTTGGAAGATAATATTTCGTGTTTGTAAGAGCAAAAAGTAAACAAACAAACTTGAAGATAGTTTATTTGGAATTATAAAGCGAAGTAGTAGCTTGATTCCAATTTATGTTCATATCATGAAGATTCGTTTCTCTTTTTTCTTTGTAATTTTAATTTTAAACTGTGATTTCAGTCCATCTATATTCAACGAAGTATTGGCTGTTTCGGTTGGTGTCGCAGCACTGGGAGCTGGCATATATGTAATATATAAATTTGTTAAACATCGATCTGCTCCCTGAACACCTCGTTCTATCTTGTAATGAAGTGTTGAACAGATTTTATATTTTTGAATCTCAGTTATATGGCATAATTTGTCTTCAGGACTGATGTGTACAGAAAAGATTAGGGTATATCATGGATACTTTTTAGGTGGGTACTTTTTCCGATCGCAGTCACAATTGTTGAAATCACAGCCTTGCTGTAGTAATTCAGACAGGGAAAACATATATGCAAATCAGCATTTTATCTTTTATTTGTAGCGCCTGAAGCAACATAAATAATCATAAATACTGCATCGGAAATCTTGAAGGCATAATTTGGCGATGAAAAATTACATACTTCTTTGATTTCTTCTTTCTCAGTTATTTCTTTTTGTCTTTTTTCATTCGTATGTAAGACAATATGTTGAATGAGTTTTGCTGATATACTTTGAAATTAAAATTTAAATGCAATAGTAATGATGATCTGACAGGCGATCTGTACATCTTAATCCACAGTTAATATGTATCTTTTTTGAACTTTTCTATTATACTCGAATTAATCTAGTATCAATTAAAAATCAGTATTATAAATCAATCTCTCATAATGGATTTTCTTTCATTGTACGGTTCTATTAAAATTGTGTGGAATATTTTTTTTTTGTGTGTGCTTTTTATGGTGAGTTTTTTATGAGTAGAAGAAAATTTTGTATCGCTTTCTTATGTTTATGTATGTAAAAGGTTTTGAATTCGAAAGTTTTTGCGGTAGCTGTCTAAATGTTTTGTGTTTTTGAATAAATTGTAATATTCATAAAAGATTCGCTTGGGTTATTCTAATAGGTTTATATTTTTCTATCACAAGTTGTTCCATAGATATTCATACTTGCAAAATTATTTCCTTTTTTTTTTCCTTTCTTTTTTCTCAATTTTTAATCACAGGAAGTAACGAATGAGATATTTGATGTTGGGTAATTGGACATAATAACGTGATGGTACTGTCAGAGTCTTTTGCAAACTTTTGGAGCTAAGTTACACTTCAAATCATATCCAGAAACCTTATTTCTTAGATCTTCGAAGCTGTGTTTGTTTTTTGAATTTCTTAAAATACTGAGAAGATCAATGAATTTTTTTTTTTTTTTAAATTTCGATCTTTAGTTTGTTCTTTTTTTAGGAATAAATAACGGATCAGAATTCGAATGCGATGAGATTTAGTATTAATGAGAGGAGACAACTTGAAATATTTGTTATTACAAATTCGAAATATTACTAGCAAAAAGTTGGTCGTTCCAAAGATGATTTCGGAGGCTATTGTACCGGTCGTGCAGAAAATTGATACGCCTCAATTTAAGGCACTTTTTACACCTGAACTTATTAAACTTAATGATCTCTTTAAGAGGAATAATTTTCAATTACGGTAAGTGTTATTTTATGATCAAACTATCATAATATTTTCCATATCCTACGTTGATGTCTCTTCTTGCAATATCGCATTCATACTTTGTATTATACTATTCTCATTTTACCATTTATATTATCATCTCTTATTGATACAGAATGAGAAAGTTCATTTCCGGTCATTTATGCGAGTAGTTCTAATATTTATGCTTATATTTTGTTGTATTTATTCAAAATAAGTTATAGCAATAACAATAGAAGTATATTTGATAAGAAATATTTGTATCAGTATGAGCATTTTTGGTAGGGATTAATTTTGATTAATTTAATCTGTTAATTTGTTAGGGAAAAATATATAATTTTAGATATTTTAATTATTGTTCTTTTTTTATATTCTAAAATTTCAAATTGTATTCTCTTTTTATTTTTATTTTTCTCTAGTCTTTTATTCTTCTTTTTACAGTATGGCTGGTGGTGCAGTTCGAGATTTATTAATGGGTATAAAACCGTCTGATATTGATTTTGCTACAAATGCAACACCAGAGGAAATGAAGGTTAATTTATCAGTTTGCCATAATCAGTAATGCTCGTTAAGAATGCTTAGATTTTTCGGTGTATTATTTGTACAATGGTTGTATCAGATGAAATCTCAAAAAAATGGCAATAAAATATGGACTTTATAGGATTGGTATGATTAGGCAGCGAAAAAATGTTTTGCTTTATCAAATTAGTTAACGATGGATTTAAAATCAAGGATTAGTAATTGAAGATATGTGGAATATGGGGAAGGTGGATGTGGAAGTTATACAAGATTTTATGAGATTATATTATCGGTTCATGCATCAAATTTTGTAATTTTTTTTTTCTATAATTTGATTTCAAATAGATCTGTTTGCTTCAGGAATTATTTATCCGCGAGGGTATCCGAATGTTGAATAAAAATGGTGAAGAACATGGAACAATTACCTGTCGTATTGATGATAAGGAAAATTTTGAAATTACAACTTTAAGGCATGCAAATGTTTGATATTGAGTGGTACATTATCCATAGGTTAATGTTTTAGGAACTTCAACTTGACTTTCGTCTGTGTTGCAAATTTTCCCAATCATATTAATTATTTTAGTGAAAACAGGCTGTACTATTATCTGTCGCGACTGTCCAAAAGATTCTCCTTAGAATCATGCAGTTGTACTATTGCACTCAGTCAGTTGTACCAGCTACCAAACTGACTTGATTTTGCTGTCATTTATGGATTGCCTTAATTATTTCAGGATTGATATTGTTTGTGATGGACGTCGAGCAAAAATTGAATTCACAACCAGTTGGCAGCTTGATGCAAATAGACGTGACCTGACGGTTAATTCACTTTTCTTGGGCAAGTTAATTGTTTTTTTTTGTCCTTGAACCTTTTCTTACAGTACGAATTTATTTCTAAAAAATTTGCTTCAATTTTCTCTTCCTGATTTCCTATTTATCGAAAATTATTGATTTCCTGAAATTTCAGCTGGTTTATATCTTTTTTTTCTCTTTTAAGATTTGGATGGCACCGTTTTTGATTATTTTGGTGGCATAAAAGATTTGGAAAAACGACGAATTGTTTTTGTAGGCGATGCAAATCAAAGGATTCAGGTTTTCCAGCAATTTTCAAATTAATTTAGTTTTGTCTATCTTCTTTGCAACTAAAACTAATTTATTCTATCAAATCTTTAGTGCGACTATTCGATCATTGTCATGTTGTAATAGATGATTCTCTTTTCTAGGAAGATTATTTGAGGATATTACGATATTTCCGTTTTTTGGTCGATTGGCGCTAGACGGTGAAGCACACGAGAAAGCAACATTGGATGCTATTATTTCGAATGGACATGGTCTAAAAGTCAGTTCATTTCTCTCAGTCTAAATATTGTTAAAATGATTATGGGCTAAAGGAATTCAGAATAATCTAGATTTTACTATAATATATTTTCCAAGTATATTATTCGTTATTTGATTTCCAATATTTCGAAACATTAACTTAGGGGTGGAAATTATTACTGGAATTTTCTCTTCTGCTTATGAATCATTTCTGTTGATTACTATTATATCCTTCAAGCTTTTGGCATAATACTTTGGCGGGACTAATCGCAATGCTATAGTTACTCGTTGATTTAAATCGTATGACTTAATTGAATAATTCAATGATTTGTATTATTTTTTTCAAAGGATATAAGTGGCGAACGAATTTGGACGGAATTAAAAAAAATATGCGTTGGTCGTTTGGGTGATGCAGTATTAACAACAATGCTAAAACGATGTAATCTAGCTTCCTTGTTGGGACTTCCAGAAAATCCAGATATAGCATACTTCTGCAAATTGCATAAACGTTATTATCAAAAAATAGAAGCTATGACATTGTTATCGTCATTATTTACTGAGATGAAGCATATTGAACTATTCCACAAGAGGTTATTCATTTTCTGAATTAATGCTGAAGAATTTTATTTTCTGGAAGAAATTACGTGCTCGAAATTCTAGGACAAATTCATTACTAAAATTCCAATTAAGATTGGGTAAAATCTACCTATATGTTCGATAGTCGCCAAAATTTATTAATTAATTCATATGCGTACCTAACATTACCACTATATTCCCAACCACTTCTTTTCATGGAGAATGATAGTATCGTTCGAAGATTTGAAACGCTAATTTTTTCTTTTTTTTTCTTGCAAAGATAAACTGGTAACAAAATATTTAACCGGGTGTATGATTTGCATAAGTTGTCAGTGGTTTATATTAATATGCAATTTATAGTAATTGAGAATAATTTGTACATAAATCCAAATATGCAAATGGAGTATCAAGAAAAAAATCATTTCAACTCTATCACGTTATTAACTTTTCATGTAGATGAATTCGTTCCCATTTAATCAACCTCCAATAAATTTTGTAGTTTTCATCCGTAAATCTCATATGTTTAATTTGCAACAATTTGTGTCATCTTTAAGCGACTGAAAAGTCTTCTTGTCCTCTCTTATGGACTTGCTGGATATTTAACCAAAGATTATTACCGTGAAAGGTGAAATCTTATGAGTCACCCAGTAAAATAAAATTTACAGATGTAAATTTTTTTCAGATGCAAATTGTCATATGCTGAGAAAACGTTAGCCGAATTCATTGTGGAACATCGTGATGAAGCAAAAAAGAATGCTAATTCAAATTTGTTTTTCAAAAATATGTTGTTAAACGAGGAACGACTGCACAAGTTTACGAGTGATTTTTTTTTTCTCGTGATAAAACTTATGAGTTTTGAGATAAATTTAAAAGAAAAAAAAACCTCTAACATTAGGGGGTGTTTTTATGGTTGATGTAAAATCAAATCAAATCAGGAAAGAAAGTCCAAACAAGTCGAGAAAAAGTGATCGAATTGGCAAAATATACAATGGTTGATGATGAGCTGATCAGCGAACTGAATGCTTGGAAAACGCCAGTATTTCCAGTCGGTGGGATCGACTTAATGTATAATAATGTTCCACCTGGATCACATGTTAAGCAGATTCTTGATCATCTTTTTAAAATATGGATCGAAGTATGTTTAATTTGAATTTTCTGCATCCGTTTTAAAATTATCCAATTTTTATCTGTCCCAAAATTTTGGCCTTACTCCGTTGCATTGATGTAATTTTGGATGTAATAGATGATTTATGTCAAAAAGTTTTACGTTTAGAAGAAAATAACTGAAGCGAAATGTGATTTGACTTTCTTAAATTCTTTTTAATTTATAACATATTTACATAATTCATTTGGGACAAATTCCCATAGTTCAACATGAACTTATTATAGAGTCAGTGGATGATGAGCAAGGAAGAATTGCTAAAACATGTTGATGATATTGAATGGAATGATGAGAAAATTCGTTCAAGATGCAAACGAAAGCATAGCTCCAGCAACACATGATATTATTATGTTTAAAAAGAGGGAAAAAATATGTAAATATTCTGTTCCTTTTCTTCTTTCTTATACTGATAAACATATTTGCATCATTTATTTGTTCCCTTACAAAAGTCATTTCAAATATGCATGTTAGAATGGGAATTTCAAACGGTTAAATTGGAATTTTTTCATTTTGAAAGAAAACTTAAAAACATTTCAAATCTCATGTTTTATTTCCTAGGCAAATAAATATTCAATATGTTTTATTTCCTAGGCAAATAAATATTCAATATGAATTTTATATAGAGAGAAACATGGGATGTTTATTGGTAAAATAAACGTAGCATCAATTTTAGGGTAAACTTGTGTTTGCAAGCTGGGATGTTGATTCACAGAAAAGTCCAAGTTTTGTCATCAAAACCAGGTGGATTATATGTAGGCCACAAATTTATGTGTAGGTCTTAAATTTGCAATTAAGTTCAAGTTATCAAGTAAATGATTGGCGATATCGCCTAGACTAATCCGGAATAAGAGAAAGTGGATGAAGTCTTTTGTTGATAATCATTGGTAATATAAAATTCAGTTCGGTTTGTTGGAAGTTTCTTATGGAAATATTCCTTCTATAAATTTGTAATAACTGATCTCGACTAAAATATTTTAACCATTGAAGAAAGGAATATGATAATAAACAGTATCAATGCAATTTTACGGGTTTTATCAAAGAAATAGCAATATGAACAAATCACAGGGGCTTTCGAATTCAAACGTGATAAAACATAATTTTTTGGAAAAGAAATTTCGAGAAAGCTTTAGAACCTTCCTTCAAAAACCGTTTAAAGACTATGCACCAGAATATAAACATGACAGAGTGCTTTCATAATTTCTCTTCTTTCTCTTTTACCTGAAACAGTGGTAACATTCCTTTTTTACATAGAATGATATCCAGCTAGAGGCGAAAGAATATTTTAGTGATTGCGTAAACTTAAGTTCAAAAACGGATTAATTCAAGTGTTTGCTAATTCATCAACTTCCTAACTTAATTAGAAATATCCAAATAAGTGAGAAAATATCCAAATAATCAGCAAGATGCAAATAATATCGTGTACATATGCCTTTTAAATATAAAAATTCACAGGCTCCACAAATTATAGTGTAAAGGTTAGTAGAGAGGAAAAAAAAAGATCGACAAGTTGCATGTTTTTACATAAATGCCACTTCAATCGGACTGTCCAGCTGTTGCCGCATATTTTCGTAACTTCTGTAACATCCGTTCATTTGTTGAAGGCTTAATAGCTTTCATTGCAACTTCAAAATCGTGCAATGTTATTGGGCGAATTTCCGTGCTGGCCAAATTTTTTATATCTTTACGTGACAGATCACGAATTGGTACCATTGCTGCTTCGCGACAAAGTGCAACCAGATCCGAATTGGAGTATCCATGCGTTCGTTCCGCCAGATTTCTAAAAAGCCAGCATAAAATACCACCGTTAAGTGATTTAACTCAAAAAAAAACTCGGTATTTGTGACATTTTGTAATGTTTAGGAGTAGCTGGGGGCTTTGACCTCCCAGTCTACACTGTCTACTAAAATAATTCGGCAGTAATTCTGACGCAACTCCTTCTTTCAGAGATGGAAATAAATAAAAGTTTGATTATTTGGTTGTCCTGTACACTCCTATCAAATCATTACATCATTGAAATTTATGACAAATTTTCAAATAAACGCATTGCTATTTATTAAAAATTAAAAGAAAATTTCCAACGCTTCAACGGAAGTATGCTCCTAATACCCATATTATTTCACCAACTAAAAGAAAAGAAGCGTAAATGATAGAAAAGAAAGAGTAGGAAATATAAACGGTAAACATAAACGGCAGGAATAAGTAGCATACAGCTGTTTAGAAGATAAAAATAGTGGTTAACTGGACGCAAAAGTAATTAAGATTATTGGAAATAACAGTTTACTTAAAATCTAGTTTCAGACACTTACTGCCTTTGTGCAAGACCTAGGTCAAATGATGTTTTTGTTTTCTCGAGTAATGACATGATTAGTTTAAGGCGCGCTGCTGCATTTGGTACATCGATGAGAATTCGCTTTGGAAATCGGCGCAAAATAGCTGAATCGAGTTCCTCAGGACGATTCGTTGCACCAATCACCAATAAACGATCATCTTTTGACGACAATATACCATCCATTTGAATTAGAAATTCCGTTTTCATACGCCTTGAAACCTGAAATTAAAAAGGCATTTCATTGATTTCAAAATTGAAAATCTCAAGTGTGAGGACACAGTGAACTCACAGACAAAGCTGAGGGTGACACATTCCGAATCCAATGCTACAAAAACTAGATCCAAGTTGATGCAACCAAAATTTCTTAATTATTAATGAAATATAATAAACAAACCTCAGTTTCCTTCTCACTGCGCTCACAAAGAATAGAATCAATTTCATCGATGAATATGATTGTTGGTTGCCCATTACGAGCAATTTGAAATAACGCGCGAACAATTTTTTCAGCATCACCAACCCATTTCGAGGTTAATGAAGCTGCTGAAACATTTAGGAACATCGTTGAACCGCATTCTGCAGCTACAGCACGAGCCTGAAATTCGAAAGCTTACCGGAATCATAAAATCTCAGAAATTCAAATATATTGCAATATAGTAAAGATGTAACGTGTGCAGATTGACTAATCATAGAATATGCCTAGAGATTTCAAATTTCAGAAAAAAATTAAAAACTGCATCAGAACGAACATACCAGTAATGTTTTGCCGTTCCCGGGTGGACCAAATAGTAAAATTCCCTGCGCAGGTTGACGAAGACCAGAAAATAAAGATGGATTAACAGTTGGTAGAATAACCGTTTCTTCCAAGGCCCGTTTGGCTGTTTCAGCGCCTACAATATCGTTCATTCTTACGTCATCTCGATTCAGAATTTCATTCAGCAACGGTTCACCAAATTTGTCATCGACACCTTTTAGGAGACTGCTTCGAGTACGAACATTCTGAAAGCAGAGTAAAGTTTGAATGAAACAGACCTTCTTAACTTAAGCACTTCAAATTACTGAATGATGGAATGATGACAAACGACAATCAAAAGCTGAAAAAAGGGAGCAATATGCCATAGACGTTTATTTTTAGTAAAAAAGTAAACATCATTCACAGTAGATTCTCATCTACAACTCCGAGTTATTCGTCATTTTTAGTAAAAAAGTAAACATCATTCACAGTAGATTCTCATCTACAACTCCGAGTTATTCTTCACAATTTTATAAACCTACCCCTTTTCGCTTTCTAAAAAAACATTCTGTATATGAAACAAAAATATTAATCTAAACAACAAATATACAATATAATATTAACTTTATCACTCATTTCCTGCCTACTTATCCTTTTTTGCTATTATTATATATCAACCTTTTACATTTGATTAAATTTGAAGGAATTTGAGGGACTTTGAAAAATTAGGAAATTTGAGGAAAATTAAGTTGTACTCACTCATCTTCCCAATTAAAATTAGTTATTCATTTTTCTTCGTCCTTTTTCTCTTTCCTAATTCCTCTTCAATCCCCAGGAATTCTCCCCAAACAAATCTACAAATTACAAACAGCAACTCACCAAATGATTGATGCTTTTCTCTTCGGAAGTGATCTGCCTACCAGATAGTCGGGCTGTTTGCGGTTTGCTAACTGAAGGTGAAACAAACTGAACAGGTCTACGCTGTAAATTTCGAGTCCCTGTCGATGGGAACATTTTTTCTGAATGAGAAAAATAAATGTTTCATCAACAAAATTATATACTTATAGTAAAATATATCACCACTGAACCAAATTTTGTACTCCAAGACAGCGGATTAGATTTTTAATGCAGCAAACTGTTTAAACAACAGAAGGATAAGAAATCATTCAACACCATCGATGAACTTAGGCCTAATTTGGGAAAGGACATGAAAACTGTCTATGCCAAAATCAAAAAAGAAAATCAATGTAAAATCGCCTAAAAGTCATAAATACATGCACTACATGTTATGAACGACAATAACATTTAAACCTACCTAAATCACCGAGTCTCTCCTTTGTTGCTTCCAAATTTCGTCTCATTGCTTCACGATGTGTCTCAACTTCACCCCGTTTCTCGGGATGCACTCTATCTGGTGATATTTTTAAAGCTTTTTCAAAATATTCAATACCCATACGGTATTTCGCCATTGCTGTCCGCTTCTTTTGTTCATCTGAAAGAAGATTTGGATTTATTCCATTCAGAACAGCATTTAAATATATGTATAAATTTTCAGACATAAAAATTCATTGAATTCCGGATCCCTATATCCTATGGTTAATCACCTTATATTTGTGTAAATTAGGCAAAAATGAATCTGGTCTTTTAGTAGTTATTTTCCGGTTGAAGAATATTACTTTTACTTGTTACTTCAATAACTGTCTTACTCGTACCTGCCTATGCACGAAAATGGCTAATCACACAACCCTTCCTGAAACAATGCATAGCAGTAGTGCAGAAAGTTTCAAGAAAAAAAAAAACTAAAATTAAATATGGACTACATAACAATGTATAAATTTTTTACCATCATTACTTGATATTTCATCTATCGAAACACCTTCTGTTACAAGTTGTTTTGACTTAAGATATGCTTTATTGAATGTTTCATAACTTTGCTGCTCCAATTTCTGAGGCTGAATCATTTTCCCTATAAATTTGTGAAAAATTAATCGAAAAAACCATAGTGATATGCTAAATAAGTAGGAATATTTCAAAAAAAAAAGAAGGATACCAAACAGTTTTGCGAGGTATTACTGCAAAGTATTTGTTTTTTCCAAATTAATTGTTTGTATTTTACTTGAAAAATTTTCAAATTTTCATCAAAAAAACGCTTCTAGAAATCATCAAAAAGAATGATATTTGAAGGAAGAGATCAATACAAAAGGTATTCAAAATTACAATAATGATAAATCGTTAGATCTGTAAGGTCGGCAAATATTCTTATTGGAGAAAAGAAAAAACCGTACACCCGTTGCGACAGGGATGCCAAAGTTTTTTTACCGTAAAATTCAGGTAATATTGTGCTTCATATTTTACGGCTTTCACAGATCATCCATATCAAAATATTTTCCCTTCGACAACATTGTCAGATGACTGTATAGTAGACACAGCCGGATAGATTATGAGCTTTTCGATAAGGCCTAATTTGCACCTAATTTTCTACTACTTTTATTACTATCTATCCAAATAATTTTCCATCAAATCAACTTTATTTCCCAAAAAAAAGATAGTCGATGCTGTGGACAATGCCGGATTAACGGCTCTTCGACAGGCCGTAATTTACGTAACATTCCTAGATGGTAGTAAAATAACATGCTTTTCTGAGTTGGACCTGCCATCAATTGCAGCTAACATTGAAAAATCGATAATAATGCAAGTGTTTTCAATTTAGGTGACTATTCGTGATGACAAATAAGCTGCAACCGTTTTCTACGGTCATAAATGACATAAATAACTCCTTTTTTTTTTTGCAATATTTCAACAAGTTTTAACATAGAAGTTTCAGAAATTTCTTATGAAACATTTCAATTTTGTTAAAGATAAATTAAAACTCTGCTTAATTCAATTATTTAGTAAATATTTAATGAATATGAAATGATAGAAAGGAAGAGCAGATTATTCATTTGTCTTTACAACGTCAGGTATTAGTAAATTTTCTAACGAAAACAAAAAGATTGTAAATACTTTCGTTAGTTATAAAAATTTTAAATAACTGTTACAAAATTTCAAGTAACTGTTACTTTCTTTATAAATTTAAATAACTGTTAAAAGTTTTAAATAATTGTTTTAATTTATTTACTGGATAATATATTTTTGTTATATCTCTTAATAGCTGTTAATGGCTAAATTATAAAATACATTATAAATTTTTTTTTCCCTTTGAATATTTGGTCTTTTTTAGCTCCTCAAAATTCAGAGATAAAATGAAACAGTTCCATTCTATCAAAGGATTTAATTTAACTTTATACTTTTCCAGTTATACATAGCAATTTTTAGATATGATGCACAATGCAACATGCAGTTGTGCATACTGCAATATAACAGTGCAATTATATGTGATAGTAATATAAGGCATAAGCTATCATAGCTGTAATGTAAAGCATGAAAACTTTTGCTTCATTAAAATGTTTCGATGCTATATAATCGCTTCCGGAAAGTAATACATCTGCTCATCAATAGTTCGATTTATTTCAATCTTTACTAATGGAAGGATGCTTTCAGTGCAAAAAAAATCTAACTTCGACAGTGTAAGTTTCCCATGAAATGAAATAATAGTTATTATGATTGAAGACTTCACTACAACCATATATAATACATTTGAACTTACTTAGCATTGCCAAAGAATACGATAAAAACCAGAAATGTAAATCGTGCTTCCAGAAGAGCAGTAAAAACCGGGAACGTATTTCGTACCGCTAAGAATACGGCACAGAAATGCACATTTTATGCTGCAAAGAATACAGCAAAACCGGAAATGTAGTATTTACTAAGGATAAAGTTAATCTAAATGAAATTTATCTAATACTTATCAAAATTATAAATAGTATAAATGTATGGACTTACTTTTCATATTAGCATCAATAACGCCAAATGCTTTCCGTTTTCCAAGATTTACACTCTTATCAGTCATATTCTACAGTTGCTGTTTCTACAAAACAGTTAAACATTGATGCTAATCCAAAAAAAAAAAAAAAGCGAATTGTAATTAATTATTAAGTAATGAGATTTGAATAATTGAATAATTAATGGAAGTGTCGAATAAGTCCATCTAAATTTCTAAATCTAACAGCTAGATGAAACCTAATATAAGACCATTTACATTTCTTTCACTTAAGATTTTATCAAAATGTTGCATTTCGTTGCACAGAGCTCTTTTGCAACGTATACTGGAAAGCAAAGAAAACTTGCTTACCGGATTTTACACTTACTGACCAGTTTCCAGTTCTGACCAAAACAACTAACCTTTTCTCATCTTATGAATAAATTAGTTTTCAAGCCCCATAATAGTGTTTCCGGAATATACAAAGAAAAATACATAGAGTTGGGATGCATAATACTCAATTATATTGATTAATTTTCGAGTTTATATGACGATTTCCCCAATTATTGATTCATTTCCGTAATGTAAATTATTCTATTTTAATATATAAGTGTAAAGGCATTGTAAATCCATTTTTCATCTCCAAAAAAATGGAAAAAAAATTGATCAATTCATTACATTACAATAATAATAATAGTAATAATGAAAATAAAGAAGGGGAAAAAAAACAGAAAGGATAAATAGTAGGAAGGCATGGATTCAATGTTTCAATAGCACCATAATTATAATAAAATCCATGAAATTAAATTTTCTTCCCGTAATTTGGATGCAAATTTTAGCTTCATAACTTTGATATACATATATCAAAGTTATATCAGTTAATGTGTATCAGTTGATTAATTAATTAATTAATCAATTAATGTTTCCAATTCTTGCTTGATAATAAATCACAAATGATGTAATTAAGATTAAATTTAAATATTGCTAACTTGCTAACACTCTTGGAAAGCATTTTTAGACCCAAAATCATTATGACAACAAAAAAAAAAAAAAAATAGTTGCCATCCTCAACAAATAACATCAGAAGAAAAAAAAAAACACTTCATTTGCTAAAGTATGATCACACGAAGAAAGGAAAATAAATGATGATAAAGCGAATAATAAAATAAAAAAGAAGTATTTGTTATTTTAGATGATTATTGTTACGCATACAATAAGGCTGCTATTATGGATACAATAAAACAATAATTATTAAATGACTAGCTAATACGTATACATATATGCACCAAATACTAATATAATATCATGAATAAATTATTATATCGTCTATTTTAATTACTATTTACTCATACAGTAACACTATAATAGCAACGTATCTGAGTTACAGATTGGAATAAATGATAGAGAAATTGATAAAATATCTTAAGTTACTATCTTAATTCTGTTCTTTACTACCGCTATTTGTGTTAATTTATTTTTTGACCTGGATACGTTACTTATTTAGTTATTTATCTAACCATATTATTTACAAAGCAAGTAACATTAATAATAAAAATAATAACAATAATAATAATAATAATAGTAATAATAATAATAATAATAATAATAATAATAATAATAATAATAATAATAATAATAATAATAATAATAATAATAATAATAATAATAATAATAATAATAATAATAATAATAACTAATAATAATAATAATAATAATAATAATAATA